GTATGTATATAATGCACAAATGTTATATGCAGTCACTTTATAAAACGTGATTTTGAGCAATTTGCAACATTTATAAAGCCACAAAAACATTGGCAAACAAGATTGGCTATAGTTAATTAAAGATGAATTAGAAAAAAATTCCAAAATTCTAGATCTTTTTTGCATTATTTCTTTTGTAGTTTTATTTATTTCCTTTCATCACAAAAGCAATTCAAATTACGACAGAAAAATAAGAAAAGGCGGACAACTATACACACACACAGACACATACACACAGACATAACCTATAATTTTTCTACTCAATGACAACTACTAGATCTTCTAGTAAAAACGGAATCATATGATGCATACTATTTGAAAGCAACCCTGTTTTATTTACACAGTCCTCCACTGTTGGACATTTAGGCTGATTTCAACAAATCCCATATTTTGTACATTTAAGTTTTTTTGTTTGTTTTTTATTTTTTTTTTATTTTATTTTTTTTGCGGTACGCGGGCCTCTCACTGTTGTGGCCTCTCCCATTGCGGAGCACAGGCTCCAGACGCGCAGGCCCAGCGGCCACGGCTCACGGTCCCAGCCGCTCCGCGGCATGCGGGATCCTCCCGGACCAGGGCACGAACCGGTGTCTCCTGCATCGGCAGGTGGGCGCTCAACCACTGCGCCACCAGGGAAGCCCTACATTTAAGTTTTTATCACTTTTTTTGCTATCAGTAGCAGCACAAAGCAATAATGAGATAAAAATGGTTTGGAAAAAAAAAGGTTTCAGCAAAACTTCCCAGATTCTGAAAAATGGTTTAAAAAATGTTTAAAGACATAAGTTTTACAACCACCCCCAAGCACTACACTAGCACCCTGCACAACAAAATCCAAACTGATGAGCAGAGATATTCATCTTCAAACAAATCACTGTCCTTTCCAGCTGCTTTGGGCAAATAATCTGCAGCCTTTCAGGTTACGAGGATCTTTAAGAAGCAAACGACCTCCTAGCCGAGATGACGGGTTTCAACCTGCTGTGTCTGTTAGCGCTGAAAACTAACAGGAACAGATCTGAGCCTATTATTTACCCAGCTAGTTGTAAGGAATGAGCTGCCCTGTATAATTCCTGAGCAGGATCATACTGCCAAGTAGCAAATCTAATCATCTGTATCCACTTCTAAGCTCACTTAAAAACATCAGGCACCCTCTGTTCCGTTAGCTTTTTGTCCATCTTTACACCAGTACCACACTGTCCTGATTACTGTAACCTTCTAACTCTCAATATCAGAAGTGTTGATCCTCCAACTCAGTTGTGTTTCAAAGTCGTTTTGGCTATACTAGGTCTTTTGCATCTCCGTGTGGATTTTGGAACCAGTTTGTCAATTTCTATAAGAAAGCCTGCTGGAATTTTGATTTGGGGAGGATTGACAGCTTAACAATATTGATCTGTCCAATGCATGAACATGATATACCTCCGTTTATTTATTAGATCTCCTTTAATTTCTCTCAGCAGCGGTTTGTGGTTTTCAGTGTACAGGTCTTTCTCATTTTTGTCAGATTTATCCCTACGTATTTCATACTTTTTGATGCTATTGCCAGTGATATTGCTTTTTAAAAAAATTTCAGTTTCCAATTGGTCAGTGCTAATGTCTAGCAATATAATTGATTTTCACGTACGGATGTTTTGTCTACAGCAGCCAGCACATGTATAAACAGCTGATGCTCAAAATAGGTGTAAGAGTAATTCAGCAGAGATAGCTTTCCAACAAATGGTGCCAGAATGACTGGATATCCACATGCAATAAAACCCAAAACCAAGCCAATACAAAACCTTCAAGCCATACTTCACATTATATGAAAACTTAATTCAAAATGAATCACAGACATCAATGTAAAACCTAAGCTATAAAACTTCTAGAAGTAAACATAGAAGAAAACCTTTGTAACCTTGACTTAAGCAAAGGTTTCTTAGATATGACACTGAAAGCACAGTATATAAAAGAAAAAATTAATAAGCTGAACTTCATCCAAATTAAAAATTTCTGGGCTTGCCTGGTGGTGCAGTGGTTAAGAATCCGCCTGCCAATGCAGGGGACATGGGACATTCAATCCCTGGTCTGGGAAGATCCCACGTGCCACGAAGCAACGAAGCCTGTGCACCACAGCTACTGAGCCTGTGCTCTAGAGCCCACGAGCCACAGCTACTGAGCCCACGTACCACAACTACTGAAGCCCACGTGCCTAGAGCCTGTGCTCTGCAACCAGAAGCCACCGCAGTGAGAAGCCCAAGCACTGCAAGGAAGGGTAGAGCCCGTGAGCCACAGCTAGAGAAAACCCATGCACAGCAATGAAGACCCAATGCAGCCAAAATTAAATAAATAAAATAAATAAATTTATATAAAAAAAATTTCTGCTCTTCGTTAGACGTTTATGAAAATGAAAAGACAAGCCACAGACTCTGAAAAAATATTTGCAAATCATATATCTGATAAAGGACTTGTATCCAGAATATAGAAAGAACTCTCAAAACTCAATTCAATAACTCATTTTTTTTAAAGGGCAGAATATTTAACTAGACACTTTACCAAAAGAAGATATATTGATGGAAAATAAGCACAAGAAGAGACGCTCGACATCATTCATTATTTGGAAAATGCAAATTAAAACTATGAGAGACCACTACACATCTATTATAATGGAACGATTAAAAAGACAGACTGGCCACACACACACACACACACACACACACACAGGTTTTTTTGGTAACTGTGAGATGATGAATGTGTTAACTAATCTTATTGTAGTAATCATTTCACAATATGCACATATATCAAATCATCATGTCGTACACCTTAAACTTACACAATATTATATACCAATTACATAGATCTCAATAAAGCTGTAAAAAAATTAAAATTTTTAGAAGTTAAACAACAAAAAAAGACTGGCCGTACCAAGTGCTGACAAGGATGTGGAGGAAGTGGAACTCTCGCGCACCGCTGGTGGGAGTGTAAATGAGTACAATTACTTTGGAAAATAATTCGGCCATTTCTTTAAAAATTAAACATACACATGTCACGTGATCCAACCATTCCATTCCTAGCCGTATTCTCTACCCAAGAGAAACAAAAACCTCTGTCCACATAAAAACCTATATGTGAATGTTCATAACAGGTTGATATGTGATAGTCAAAAACCGGAGACAACCCAAAAAATGTCCACTATCAAGTGAATGGATTAAAAAACCCTGCAATATCCATGCAGTAGAACAGTGCTAGTAATAAAGAAGAATGGGCTGTTGATACAAGTTACAAGGCTGGAGAATTCTCAGAATAATTACTATGAGTGAAAGGAGCCAAACAAGAAAGAGTACAAACTGCATGATTCCGTTTATATAAAATTCTAGAAAATGCAACAAATCAATAGTGACAGAAAGCAGATCTTTGTTGCCTTGGGGGACAGGGCTGGGAAGTCAGGATAAACGCAAGATGTAAGGAAGCTTTTGATAGTGGTGGTCATGTTTACTCTCTTGACCGTGGTGATGGTTTTGTGACTATACATTTACCTCTAAACTCGTCAAATTGTGCCTTTAAATGTATACTGTTTATTATCTGTCAGTTGTACCCCCCGAGAGAACTGTTTAAGAAAAACTAAGAAACACCGGGAGCCAAAAGATGGCAGTAATGCCTTTGTGGGGTCAGAGAGCGATGCTGGTTGATGAGCTCATACTTCCAAAACTTGCATATAATTTTGGGGTTTGGGACCCCAAAGAACAACCATGGACTCTCCAGGAGATAGTAATCCCATGATCTGTGTGTGTGTGTTTAAGGCAACACTCCTAATAACTTACCTCCAGTCGGGCCAGTCTACCCATTACTCCATCAGAGGCGTCCATCCACAGTTGTGGCTGGCTGGCCTGCTGTGAACCCATAGCTCTGAAGGCTATCCTAAAGTTTAATTTTCCTGGGACTATGTTTGCATTTCCCCCAACTTCTGAGAATCTGAGTTATGTTGGTGACGGAGTCAGTTGGCTAGCCAGTGTCCCACACGACCCCTGGGGAGATGTGGGGCACAGCCAGAGCACTGGGGCAACTCGACTGGACAATGTGAAAGTGAAATTCAGCTTTAGTCAGAACCCGGCAAAGATGAGCCGTCTGCTTACACATGCAGATGACATGCAGGCAAGTTTTGGAAGTATGTGCATTCAGGTATTTTTCAGAGGAGAGAGTTCGTAGCTTTCATCAGACCCTCAAAGAACTCCGTGACTGTAACAAGATTAAGGCGCGCCAACGTGGCTAAAGCCAGACCCATCTCTCCTTTCTCCTCCCTCTTGTCTAGCTCTCGGGACGAAAATCTACAACCTGTAGGACACTCGTTCGAGTCTAACCGGGAAATGACATCTGTGCGATCTAAAGTTCTTCCCGAACACACCCAGCCATCCTCAACTTCGTTCTTCCCCGTTTGCCTGGGACCGCGTACTTCGGGGCGCGCCCCCTACCCCGCGCACTCTCTCGGTTTCCTAGTGCTGAAGAATTTGGAGCTGTTGCCAGGTCCCCCAGGTGTGCAACCTGCCCGACACGTTTTCACTCCTCCGGGACGCACGCAGTCCGTACCCCGTCCTACCACCCCCCCCCACCCCCCGCCATATAACCTGCTTTGATCGGAGGGTAGAGACCAGTCGTTTTCCCCGGACCGCCCCATCCCCCGGGGGGACTGCCGGCGGATGAACGCGCGCACAGCTTTCCTCGCGGGGCTGATGCGTTTCTCGAAATCGCTGTAAAATTCTCAACTCCGAGCCCGCATTGCAAACCCCGGCTTCTTCCCTTTGCCTCGGAAATTGGGGAAAACGTAGAATGAAAAGCCCGACCACTCGCTCCCTGCCTTGAGAGGCCAGGCGAGCCGGGGCGCGGGGCCCTGAGCCGACGGTCCCCGCGTCCCTCCACGTGTCCCCGGCGCACGGGCGCACACCCTTGTGCTGGGGGCCGACCCCAGCCCGGCTTCCCGCTCCCCGCGCGCTCCCTACCCGGCGTCGCCGGCGGTCCGAGCAGCAGCAGCAGCAGCAGCGCGGGGAGGGCGCCGACCCCGCAGCCCCGGAGCCGCCCCGACATGGCCCGACCTCGGCCGCGCCCCCGCCGGCCTCCTCCCGGGCTCGCCCCGGACGCGACGCCCCGCCGCTCGCGCGCTCAGATGTCCACTGCCCGGGAGCAGGCGGCGGGCGCAGCTCCGAGACCGGCCGCCCCGCGAGCCGCATTCGCTTTCGCTTTTGCTTTAGCCCCCGAGGGCTGGAGAGGTGAGAAGCGGTGACAGACCCGTGACTCAGCATCCCCAACCCCTCCCCTGGAAAAAGACCCTATGACCCCCGCGCCGCCGCCCGGTCCCCGCAACGCCACCGGCAGCGCGGGACGGGGACCCGGACTGTGCCCTGAGGAGGCCCGGGGTCTTCCCCGGCTTTGCCCTTCTCGCCCCTGGTGACCCCAGCAGTCCATTCCGTCGTGTGTCCCCGCGACGAGAGGGAGAAGCTTTCGGGAAGCAGACTAGTTCCCGTAAACACGACTGGTGGGCGTCACACCTGGCTTCGGCTCCACTCGGTCACCTCGCCTCGCTTGTCTCTGCCTGTTGCTCCGACTTCGAAGGTCCTGGACCAGGAGCTGGCGAACGAGTTGCCGCGCGTCCCGCTGGTCCGGGCCGGTGACGCTGAGTGACAGCGGGGATATCGCCGCGGCGCGGCTGGCCCGGTCACCTGCCCGGTGCGCCCAGGCCCAGACCGGGAACGAAGCCCAGCCCGCCTGTCCTGAACCTTGCCTGGCTCCCGGCACCGCCACTTTTCTTACTCCTGCTGCATCTTTCTTCCCCAAGAACATTTAAACTATTTGAAGCGGGCGTGGGAGGGAGGACCGACAGTTATTCACCTCTGTGCCTTAGACAATTCGGCTAGCTGCTGCTTTGCAGGTGGCTTTTTTTCTTTCTTGGGATCTCCAGTTAAGCCTGACCTTATTGAGAAGCGGGTGTGCAGTGAGAAAGCTCGGGACGCACAATCAGAAATCCCCAGTTCTGGGAGTGAAATTAGGCAGGATGGGTCGTCTCTGGGCTCGGGTCTCCATCTGTTCTCCCAGTGGTAACATCCTGAATAACTCCAGTACAACAGCACAGGCAGGGAATGTCATTGATGCAACCCCCAGACCTTACTCAGATTTAGTCCGTTTTCCGTGCACTCAATGGAGCGTGTGTATTCAGTTCTGGGCACTACACGTCACATATGTAGGTGTCTGTGACCACCACTGTCAAGACGGGGAACAGTTATCAAAAGCATCCCTCCCACTACTACTCTTTTAGTCACAGCCACCTTCCACTCTCACCTTCTCCCTAAGCCCTAGCAGCCACTGATCTTTTCTCCATCTCTATAATATTGTCATTTGAATAATGTTATGTAAATGGAATCATACAGTTTGTAACCTGTAGAGGTCAGCTTTGTTCACTCAGTATAATTCCCTCGAGATCCATTCAAGTTGCTGTGTGTCAGTAGTTTGTTCCTTTTTATGAGCAGTACTGATGGTTTCTTCTTTTAAAAACATGTGAATCTCTGCCATCCACACCCAAACAGCCCTGTGCTTTTGTATGTGTATTATTTTGCTAGGGCTGCCTTTACAAAGTACCAAGAACTAGGTGGCTTAATGACAGCAGGAATTGGTCCTCTGATCTTCTGGAGGCCAGGAGTCCGAGATCCAGGTGTCTGCAGGGCCATGCTCTCTTGGCACCAGGGGAAGATCCTTCCTTGCTTCTTCTAGCTTCTGGTGTTTGCCGGCAATTCTTGGTGCTTCTGCGTGTGTAGGTGCGTCACTGCAGTTACGTGGCTGGCTTCTCCCTGTGTCTTCACCTCGTCTTCCCTCTGTGTCCAAATTTCTCCTTTTTATATGGACACCAGTCGTATTGGATTAGGACCCACCCTAATCCTAATGACCTCATTTTCACGTGGTGACCTTTTAGAGACCCTATTTCCAATAAGGTGACATTCTGAGTTAGGGGGGTTTAGGACTTCAACATATCTTTTTGGGGTGACACACTTCCACCTATAACAATATGGTATATTTATTTCTGAGAACAAAGTCCGAGACCTGTTTTCTCAGGCCAAAGGAACTGACCTGGATGCAGAACAGTTGGATCCCTGCGGTACAGTGTCCACACCTCAAGGGTGACTCAGATGGGAGCTTGTTTGGGGCCTTCAAATAAGAGGGTCCCTTACAGGGCTGGGGAGCTTGGTCAGCAGCCACCACTCAGGGCAGAGCTGGAGTTGAGGACAGGGCTGTGGGGTCAGGAGAGATGATACCTGGGAGCTGGGTCTTCAGCCATCGGCTGTCCTCTGGAGGGGAGCAGACAGTGAACCCTCAGGATGGGAGGGTAACATGTCACACTGGGCCACCAAGAAGGGGAGGCTATGGCTCAAGGCTAATGGATTATTCCCCAACCCATTCTCCTCTTCCTCCTTCTTTAGAATCTTAACTTTTTAAAGTAAGATATAATTCCTATAACAGTAAATTCACCACTTTATAGAGTATAATTCAGTGGTTTTTATTCATGACATTGTATAACTATCACCACTATCGAATTCCAGAATAATTCCATCACCCCAAAAAGAAACCCAGGGCCTGTTAGGAGTTCCTCCCAATTTCCCCTCTTCTTAGTTGCTGGTAACTTCAAATCTACTTTCTTTTCCCCATGGATTTGACTATTCTCAATATTTCACAGGAATGGAATCAGACAATATGTCCTTCTGTGTCTGGTTTCTTTCACTCAGTGTAATTTTTTTCAAGGTTCATCTATGTTGTAGGGTGTAGCAGTACTTTATTCCTTTTTATGACTGGATAATATTCCATTAAATAGATATTTCACATTTTGTTTATTCATTCACCAGTTCATGGATATTTGAGCTGTTTCCAACTTTTAGCTGTTAGGAATAATACTGCTATGAACATTCGTGTACAGGCTTTTGTGTGAACATATGTTTTCTGTTCTCTCGGGTGTATGCCTAGGAGTGGGATTGTTGGGTCACATGGTAATTCTCAGATTCTTGAAGGACAGCATGAAGACTCGGGGAGCCTTTTAGGAACCAGACACAGCTGGTTCCCAGACTGGGGGCGATCATTCCACTGCTCTCCAAAGGATAGTGTCCTTGGCTTTGGGAGATGCTGACTTAGGAGCTAAGGCAATATAAGTCTGTAGGCATCAGCTCGTGGGCACCTAGCTGCTGCTGCCAACCTGGGGGCACCGAGGCAGTAAAACGAGACAGAGGGACCCAGAGAAAACTAGTCCACTCACAGGAGGAGTTGTGCTGAAGAGCAGAAAGACAAATGTTGGCTGTAAGGGGAAGGAATTGCTTCTCAATCCTCAAAGTATAAAAAATACCACATTTTCTTATTTTTGTAAATCTTCCTATCGGGCTCCAAGCTTCCACTTGCCAAGATCAAAACAAATCCGATATCGCTCTCGCCCCATCCTCCAAAGGCAAATGGCTGTCTTCCCTTCCCATGGATTTTGCCAGGAAAAATAGAGAGAGGCCTCTGTCACCTCTGTCTTCTTGGTTATTTCTGGGTGGTCGTTGTCCAAACCCACCCTCCGGCCTCTGGTCTCAGCAGACCTACCTGACCCCCTTTTTTTGCACAGCCTCACAGACAATCTAGGCAGATTCTTTCAATTAGCCAAGGTCTTTGTCCAGAAAAGGCCTATTTGGGTCCGCCTCCCTGTTACTCTGCAATCAAATAAACAAACACCAAACAAATACATTATCTGTAAACTGCATCCCTCGGGTGGGAGAGCCCCACACCGTAGAATACAAAATCTTGTCTGCTCTTGGGGAAAATCACCCCTTACTTTCTTCCCTGTGATAAGTAGCAAAAATCTCCAAGAGACCAACCCATTTCTTTCTTTCTTTGTTTTGTGGTATGCGGGCCTCTCACTGTTGTGGCCTCTTCCGTTGCGGAGCACAGGCTCCGGATGCGCAGGCTCAGTGGCCATGGCTCACGGGCCCAGCCGCTCTATAGCATGTAGGATCTTCCCGGACCGAGGCACGAACCCGTGTCCCCTGCATTGGCAGGGGGACTCTCAACCACTGCGCCACCAGGGAAGCGCCCAATCCATTTCTTGATAACTCAGTTATATTCATTTGCAGCCTCATAGCCATAATTTAATCACGTTTAGTTGAAAAATTAAGCGATGAAATGGATTTTGAATCTTAAAGATTTAAACATGTCAGAGTAGTGTGTGTTTAACAACTATTTAAAGTTTATTTTTTAAACTCAAAGTTGTTTTGGAACTTTTTTTAATTGAGGTAACATGATTTATAACGTAAGTTTTATTTGTAAAACATTATATTTCTACTTCTGTCTACCGTACAGCGTGCTCACCACCAAACATTTAGTTTCCCTCTGTCACCATATAGCTGATCCCCTCTACCCATTTTACCCTCCCCCCATCCCTTCCCCTGTGGTAGCCGCTATTCTGTTCTCTGTATCTATGTGTTTGTTTGATTTGGCTTGGAACTTTTACTTTTTAATTGACTTTGAAACCACATTCTCTCCAGTTCTGCATATATGGGAATAACAGGACCCACACCACAGGGTGGTTGTGAAAATCAGACGAGTTAACAAAAGCATTTTGAACAGTGCCCCACATATAACAAATGCTCAATAAGTGTTACATATATGATACGCAATGTGTAATATATAATATATTGTTCTTTGTAAATTACTTCAGATGATTGTAGAGAAAGTTATCAGCTAAAAATGTTAAGTACAAGCTAGGGGTGGAGAAAGGGTTGGGAGAAACGTTATTTCTGATACTAAGCCGAGCCGGCTGCCAAGGCGGGGAACAGACGTGTGGAGAAGCCGAGCTGATGTAATGGATTAAGAATATGCAGGTTATGACCTGCTGAACGAGGCAGCCGCAGTCACCCACAGGGTGTCGGCAGGCAGCTTTCTCAGCATCCCAGCTCCCGCTTTGGGGAAGCGAAACCCACGGGGGTCGTTTTGATTGAAGGTGAAGTTTCAATACACCCACACAAAGGAAGTAGAGTCATAGACTGATTATTACTTACGGATCCCAGAAGCGAGGGGGCGCAGTGACCCTGGGGAAAAATCAGTCCTCCGTCCCAGGTGGCGGCAAGCAGGAGATGGAGAGCAGGGTAGCGAGCACCTGTTATTTACAAGGTGCTTGGGCGAAGGTCACTACCTTTTCACAGGCTTCACTGTAAGGCGTTATTTTAAAAGGTGCCCGAGGAAAAGCAAAGCGGGAACTTATGGCGGCATCCTCAATTCAAGTCTTTATCTAAATGTCAAGATTCTGGGTGTGAGTAAGGTTATCATAGTGTAAAATACCTCAGCAGCAACTCAGAAGACAAAGTTGTTTTTCTCAATCGTTTTTTTTTTTTTTCTCCTCATCGCACCAAAGCACCAAGAAGATAGACAGGGAGGGCTTCCCTGGTGGCTCAGTGGTTGAGAGTCCGCCTGCCGCTGCAGGGGACACGGGTTCGTGCCCTGGTCTGGGAGGATCCCACATGCCGCGGAGCGGCTGGGCCCGTGAGCCATGGCCGCTGAGCCTGCGCGTCCGGAGCCTGTGCTCCGCAACGGGAGAGGCCACAACAGTGAGAGGCCCGCGTACCGTAAAAACAAAACAAAACAAAACAAGAAAAAGGAGATAGGCAGGGAGGCCCCATGAACAGATGGTGAGGATAGAAACTCCGTCCTGGGTGGAAATTCCAACAGCTGGGACCAATATTCCCACTTGTGCTGTCACTTCCTACAGCAAGACAACAGCCAACTAAGATGATAAACTTGTAAAGCAAACCTCCCCGAGCTGAATCAGCTTTGTGTTCCACTTTCAATTACACCAGGAGAATCCCCTACTGACCCTCGTTCACCCAAGATCCCAATTCGGCCTGTCACCCTGGGAGCTCTTCCTTAAATCTGCCCCTCCTCTCCTGCCCCCAGGCCGGCCTCTTCTTCCTCCCTTATCTCATCGCCGGTGAGGAGGGCTTGAAGAAGAGCAACAGCTTTCATGAGCCTCCTGCTTTCTCTTTTGTCCTTTAGTTCATCCATAAATAACTCAGGATAAATCCGAGGAAGAAAGTGACAGAACCTTAGGGTTTTAAAAATGCAAACCCATGATTTATCCTGGAATCTCAAACCCAAATGCCCTTAAGGACCCGAGGGTGGGTTGGTGGGCGTGAGAGGAAGTGAGCTGAAAGCTCTTGCAGACTACGGGACTAGTGTGTGTCCAGTGCCACTAGAGTTTTAATTTTTGAAGAAACATTGGAAATATGGGCCCTTGTGTGATATCTCCTGGTTTGCAAATAGTGACTGTTGCTTTAGAAAAAATCAAAACACCATGCAAGCCCAAGAAAGCCCATTCGTACGCTTTGCAACATCTAATATGTAGTAATCTTTTTATGCAGACAACTACTCAAAGTGTTTCGATTCCTCCACTATGCTAGAAATCAGAAATATTAATTTATTGGAATGAGTTTGGTTCACGAATTTTAAAATCTTCGATCTATGACCAATCACAGTAGGTGACCCATTACCTCTTGGAACATTTTGCAAAAGTTTTTTTGAGCATGCTCTTTTCTGCAGAAAAGACCCATAACTTTCATTAGTGTTTGTTTCAAAAGGGTCCTTGACCTAAAATATTGAGAATAAAATATCTACAAGTTATAATATTTTATAGACATTGAAATTTTTTTAATGTAAGAACTTATAGATTCTGAGTTGAAAGATAAGGTATTTATGAACCTAAAACTCTTACTGATTTCTTTGGGGTTAGAGTTATTGTTAGTGTCATTTCTTTCTCTCTTTCTTTTTTTTTTTGCAAAATTATTTCTCCAGATATGTTATAAAAAATGTGTTAAGAAACATCTTAATAGTTTTGAAGATTGGAAATAACCCAAATGTCCATCAACAGGAAAGTGATTGGATAAAATATGTAAAATGCATACAAGAGAATATAATGCAGTTGTAAAAAAGTTCTCTTTCTACGAATGTGGAAAGATCTCCAAGATATATTGTTTAGAAGACAAATAACCAAACAATATGCAAAACTATGTATAGTATGCTGCCTTTTATGTCAGAAGGGAGAAAATAAGAATATATTTATATTTGCTTGTATTAGCACACATACTTGATAACACCCTGGAAAAGCACAAAAGAAAGCAATAAATGTGCATTTCTATGGAGGTGGTAACTGAATAAATGGGACATGGGATGAAGGGGGGATGCTTCAATGTATACGTTTAGTTTTACCCTTTTTTCCTCATTCTTTTAAAAATATTTATTAATTAATTTATTTATTGGCTGCGTCGGGTCTTAGTTGCAGCACGCGGGATCTTCTTTGGGGCATGCGGAATCTGTCATTGCGGCGCACAGGCTCCTCTCTAGTTGTGGTGCACGGGCTGCAGAGCACGTGGGCTCTGTATTTTGTGGCACGCGGGCTCTCTCGTTGAGGTGCGCGAGCTCAGTAGTTGTGGTGCACGGGCTTAGTTGCCCCGCGACATGTGGGATCTTAGTTCCCCGACCAGGGGTGGAACCTGCGTCCCCTGCATTGGAAGGCGGATTCTTGACCACTGGACCACCAGGGAAGACCCATATTATTTATTCTAAAAACGAAATTTAAAAAGTCTCATGACGACCTTAAACATCTTGTTTTTAAACAGGAATTTTTTTTTTTTTTTTTTTGCGGTAGGGGGGCCTCTCACTGTTGTGGCCTCTCCCGTTGCGGAGCACAGGCTCCAGACGCGCAGGCTCAGCAGCCATGGCTCACGGGCCCAGCCGCTCCGCGGCATGTGGGATCTTCCCGGAGCTGGGCAGGAACCCGTGTCCCCTGCATCGGCAGGCGGACTCCCAACCACTGCGCCACCAGGGAAGCCCTCAAACAGGAATTTTTAGCTCATGGGTAATTTTAAGAAATTGAAACAAGGCAAGCCAACAGATTTGATATGGTTTTGCAGGTATACTTTCCAGTGAAAGTTTACTTTGGCCATTTTATTAGGGATACTTCTAGTGTAAAGTAGCCATTTTAAATAAGAATCCTGAAGTAAACAGGCTTCTAAAATGAGAATGTTTCCAAAATAACTAACCAATAAGAGATTTAAAATCTGGCATTCTGGTAGACCAGAGAGGCTCAGTTAGGCAAGATTGTTCATCCCTAAAAGATAGTTCATCTCTTCCAGACCGTCTCTTTACACACTATTCCAAAACCAAAAGACATTTTTTTTTGTTTGTTTGCTGATGTAGTTGCAAAAAAAAAAACCAACAAAAAACGGAAAACAGAGATGTGCTTTATATCTTGTCACTTGATTTAAATGGCCTTAAAAGGAAGGGATGTGTCATTCTTCACGCTTCCTCTTTCTTACTGGCTGAAATGCAGACATAATGACTGGAGCTCCAGCAGTCATATTGAGCCCATGAGGAGTCTCAAAAATAGGAGCCACAAGCCACCCATAGAGTAGAGCTAAGATGGAAAGAACCTGGGTCCCTGACACCAGGAGGACCAAAGCAGCTTGGACTGTCTCCCTTTGAATTTGTTGAACCTGAAAGAGAAATAGACATCTACCTTGTTTGTCATTTCTACTTTTGGTTTTTTTCTTACAACTAAACTTATCCTAACAATACACCTAAAAAGAGAAACTATGTTCCAGATAGGCTTGGGTTTTTTTCCTTATAGATTTTCTTTTCATTAGCCCTGGTATTTTCATTTCCTGATGCAAGGAAAAACATTTAGTATACTCTTTATTTTCATCAATTTTGAGATACTATTAAGCCTATTTTGACATCTTCATTACCCTTTTGTGATTTAAAATAAATTTTATTATATTTAATTTATAAAAAACATAAAATTATGTTGTATTTTTAAAGAAGAGTCTGTCATGATTATACATTAACTTAATAATCAAATTTATAATATAACTAAAAGAACATTGATAAGGTTATAAGATGTGTAAGATTATTCTAATTATTCTCTTATCATCTGAGCCTTCAACAAGTTGTAGTAGTAACATCAAAGATCACTGATCACAGATCACCATAACAAATATAATAATAAGGAAAAGATTGAAATATTGCGAGAATTACCAAAATGTGACACAGAGATGTGAAGTGAGCAAAGTGTTGGAAAATGACGCCAATGGACTTGCTCGATGCAGGATTGCCAGAAACCTTCAATTTGTAAAAAACACAGTATCTGCAAAATGCGATAAAATGAAGTGCAATAAATTGAGGTCTGCCTGTAGAGCTGATAGAAGAACATGCATGCTCATTTCTGGGTATAAATATTGTTTACCTCAGTCTCTATTATTCTTGTACACACAAAATTTAACATTGAATCCAAATGACATCCCCCCAAAACAAAATGAAATGAGATAAAATAGTCAACAGAGCCAGACACAGAGATGGTACAGATGTTGAAACTATCAGAAACTTTAAAGTAACTATAATTAATACATTAAGAGTGTATAGTGGAAAAAGTGGACAACATGCGTAATGGGGAATTTGACCAGATAGATGAAAACTCTGAAAAAGAGTTAAATAAAAATGCTGGAAATGAACACCATTTCTTTATGGACTAAATTGTGACCTTCCCTCCTTCCCCCCAAATTCATATGTTGTAGCCCTAACCCCCAATGTGGCTGCATTTGGAGATAAGGCCTGCCCTAGCAGACGAATAAGACCATGATATCAGACATGAAGAATTCCTTCAACAGGCTTATTAGCAGAGGGGAGAATCAGTTAACTTGAGGAAAGGACAATAGAAATTATCCACACTGAAACATGAGTGAAAAGGGAGGACAAAACATACCAGCATCCAAGAGCTTTGGGATGATATGAAATGGTCTAACATATGTGTTACTGAGTCCTAGAAGGATGAGAGACAGGAAGATAGAAGAGAGAAAAGCTGAGATTTTCCCAAAGTGCATGAAAAACAACAAATTCCAGATCCAGGAATCTCAAAGCACCCTGGTCAAGATAAATACAAATAAAAACACAATTAGCACATCATTATCAGACTGCTGAAAATCAGTGATAAGGTGGAAAATCTTAAAGACAGCCAGAATGAAATAATGAAATAATCCATAAGGAAGATATTACATTCTGAAGACTTCACATCAGGCACTGTGCAAACCAGAAGATGATAGAGTGACATCATTAAGAAACTGAAAGAAGGGATTCCCTGGCAGTCCAGTTGTTAGGACACCGCGCTTCCACGGCAGGGGGCATGGGTTCAATCCCTGGTGGGGGAACTAAGATCCCACAAGACACGTGTCATGGTCAAAAAAAAAAAAGAAACTGAAAGAAGAAAAAGTCAACCTAGAACTTTAGACTCAGTGAAAATCTCTCACACAAATGAAAGAAAAATAGTGGGTTTTTTTTTTTTTTCGGCAAATAGATGCCAAGAGAATGTATCACCCATAGACCTTCACTACAGGAAATGTTAAAGTAAATTATTCAGGCAGAAAGAATATGAGACTAGAAAGAAGTCTGTATCTACACAAAGGAATGAAGAGTACTGGAAATGGTAAAAATGTGGGCAAATATTTAAAAATTTTTTCTTATTTTTAATCTCTTAAATGGATAATTGACTCTCTAAAGCAAAAACAGTAACAATGTACTATGGGAATTATAACATATGTAGAAGTAAAATGCATTTCAACAATAGCAAAAAGGATGGGAGAGAGGAATTGGGAATGTACTGCTGAAAGATTATTACACTTAAAGTGAAGTGCTAAATTATTATTTAAAGATAGACTATGACAAGTAGAAAATGTATATTCTTTAGAGCAACCACACACACAAAAGGTATAGATAATAAACAATAGTGGAATGGAATGGAATCATAAAAAATCCAAAAAACCCAGGAAACGAGAAAAAAAAGTAACAAGGAATAAACGGGACAAATAGAAAACACATAGCAAGATGATAGATTTAAACTCAACCATATCAACAATTAAATATAAATGGTTTAAGTAACCCAATAAATTAGAGAGATTGTCAGATTGGATTTAAAAAGCAAAACCAACTATATACCATAAGAAACCCAGTTTAGGGCTTCCCTGGTGGTGCAGTGGTTGAGAGTCCACCTGCCGATGCAGGGGACACGGGTTCGGGCCCCGGTGCGGGAAGATCCCACATGCCGCGGAGCAGCTGGGCCCGTGAGCCATGGCCGCTGAGCCTGCGCGTCCGGAGCCTGTGCTCCGCAACGGGAGAGGCCACAACAGTGAGAGGCCCGCGTACCGCAAAAAAAAAAGAAAGAAAAAAAAGAAACCCAGTTTAAATATAAAAAGAAATAGGGTAAAACAATGGAAAAAGATATGCTATGTTAATACTAATCAAAAGAAAACTGGGGCTATATTAATTCAAAGTACACTTTGAACAAAGAACATTACCAGGGATAAAGAATATTAAATAAAGAATAACCCTAGGATAAAGAGGGACATCATATACTAACAGGATAAATTAATCAAGAAGACATTGCAGGGTTTCTCTGGTGGCGCAGTGGTTAAGAATCCGCCTGCCGGGCTTCCCTGGTGGCACAGTGGTTGGGAGTCTGCCTGCAGATGGAGGGGACATGGGTTCGTGCCCTGGTCCGGGAAGATCCCATATGCCATGGAGCAGCTAGGCCCGTGAGCCATGGGAGCTGAGCCTGCGCGTCCGGAGCCTGTGCTCCGCAACAGGAGAGGCCCGCTTACCACAAGGCCCGCTTACCGCAAAAAAAAAAACGCCTGCCAATGCAGGGGACACGGGTTTGAGTCCTGGTCCGGGAAGATCGCACATGCCACAGAGCAACTAAGCCCGTGCGCCACAACTACTGAGCCTGCGCTCTAGAGCCCGCGAGCCACAACTACTGAAGCCCGCGCGCCTAAAGCCCGTGCACCACAACGAAGAGTAGCCCCCGCTCACCGCAACTAGAGAAAGCCCGCGTGCAGCAACAAAGACCCAACACAGCCAAAAATAAATAAATAAATTTATATTAAAAAAAGAAGACATTGCAAAAAACTTTCAACAAAATGAGTATAGAGGGAACATACCTCAACATAATAAAGGCCATATACGACAAACACACAGCTAACATCATACTCAACTGTGAAAAGCTGAAAGCATTCCTCTAAGATCAGGAACAAGACAAGGATGCCCACTCTCACCACTTATATTAAACATACTATTGGAAGCCCTAGCCACAGCAATCAGACAAAATAAAGAAAGAAAAGGAATCCAAATTGGAAAGGAAGAAGTAAAACTGTCACTGTTTGCAGAAGATCAAAACAGATGAACAAGAGATGAAAATTTGAATTTTAATATGATAAAATTTATCAATTAAATTTTTTTTCTTTATGGTTACGAGGGTTTTTTTTTGTTTTTGTCTTTTAAAGAAATTCTTCGGGGACTTACCTGGTGGTCCAATGGTTAAGACTCCATGCTTCCAGTGCAGGGGGCGTGGGTTCAATCCTTGGTGAGGGAACTAAGATTCCGCATGCTTTGCAGTGTGGCCAAAAAATAAAAATAAAAAAAATAAGAAATTCCTTCCTCAAAGTCAGAAAGATATGAATCTTTATTTTCTTATAAAAAGTTTAAAGTTCAGCTTTTGACCACTAAGTCCTTACTTAATCCATCTGGAGTTAACTTATTTGCGTGCTATGAAATAGAGATCTAATTTCATTTTTTTTAATATGGAAAACCCACTTTTTCTAGCTTTGTTTATTGAATAGTCCCTCTGCCATGCTACCTCCTTCATCCTTCCCAAGTTTAACTCTCCATAAATAAACTCTTCCAGGAAAGGTGTGTCTCCACCGGATCAAGAAGGACAACATCTCTGGTGAAATATACTGGGTGACTCAGATGAACACCGACTTTATTTCAAGTCATCCCAAACAAGAAAAAGCCAAAGTGTATGCATTTGTCAATAAATAAATATATACACACATTTATACTGGGGGTGAAATGATAAAGAAAATGTGATGACTGATAGGTGTCCATGAAATATAGAACTTTCTTGCAGTTTTGAAAAACTTCACCTTCATCTTTGATGAGAGGTCCAGGGATCCATGCAAGCAAGAGCAATCTTGGATTCCTTATGAGCCATGGAGAACAAGATTTAACCTTCCTTTCCACCTGAGAAAGTAGAGGGAACAAGGCTCAGATTCTGGCAGTGGGTAAAGAAATATACTCTCAACCAGGCGTGTTCTTTCCTGATGAATGTTCGGTTGCAATTCCTCAAATCAGTCTGTGAAATCGGAAAGATTGTTTCCAATACCACCTGGAAGAACTAACAAGAATATATTTCTCTTTTTATTCACATAGGATCCAGATTAATTGTAGAAAACTTAATCCAAATAGCAAGAATAGGAACTGAAATAATCATTAGGGCCCTGAGGAAACACTCCTATTATTGAAGTGGACTCCATGATGGTTCTGCTAGGGCTCTGCTCCAGGGGAAGTGCTGGGTGTCGTATTGAGATGCCCTAGTGCTATGGTGCTCTGTGGAGCCTATAGGGCTTGAAGTCAGGCTGCTGGAGTTTGAGTTTTCCTGCACACGAGCCTCCCTCTGCCTCCCTTTTCTCATCTGCAAGGTGGGAACAGAAGTGGGGTTGTTTGGGGTACAGTGAGATTCCAGGTAGGGTCCTAGCCTAGGGCCTGACCTCTTTCAGCAGCTCATTATTATTACTATTAGTCATCATTATTACTCTTAGTAATAATAGTAGTAATTATTATTCGGCATTTTAATGATGTCTAGCTGACTTGGGTTTTCATGGGCAAAGCTTATAAATAGGACACTTTCTGTGCCCAGTTAGGGTTCATGCTTATTTCCTTCATTTTAATCCACAGCAACATGCCGTTAACCTCTGATTTCTTGAGCCTGGACCTAATCTGGAAGGTCAGAGCCATATTTTAAAGTAATTTCATGCTAGTTATTATGGGACTCCTGAGTTTATGAAAGAAATCATGCTTGGGTTTGTACTTGCACCAGATCCTACATGACTTCATGGGGAGATTTGGTTTTAAGGGTCATTGAGAGCAGATTGGGCCATAGCCTTTATCTCTTTTTTCAGGTATAAAAATGAAATAACGAGAAAATAAAACACAACAAATTACATATTTTTGAATAGTCTTCAGATAACACAGCTGTCTCTTAAAACTTCAGTCCACAACTCCTCTCTTATTTATTAGCCAAAGCAAGTCACAGAGCCGTGCCTGAGTTTAAGAGGGTGGTCGAGGGAACCTCCTGCATGGTGGAGCGCTGAATATTTGTGAGCACTTGTACCCATTAGAGGCACAGTGTGACCCACTGTACTTGCAGTTTATTTATTTTCTAATATTTTTGTCTCTACGGGTCCCAGCACATGGTTTGTCCATTTAAAATGACTGAGACATCTCTAGGGAGGGAACCACGGGAGAAGAGGAAAGGAAAAGCCCACAAACCCCACAGATGTACTTTTGGGGAGCAAAGATGCCATCTGATTCCTCCAGGTAGAGTGAGCAGACAGCTGCCCTCACAGGACCCGGGTGGCAGAAGCATTTTATAAGTAGAGACAATAATTTCTGATTCTAAACCTCTGACCTACCAGGTGCATTCCATCCTGTCTCGCCCACTCCATGCTTTCCCTCTGTCCACTTCCGTAAGCTCTCAGGTCAATTATTAACTCATAGTTTTGTTTTAAATTCTATCCCAGGATTCCATTACCCGCTTCTATGGAGGGGGGACGTCTCTCTTCCATTTCTACCCCGATGTCTCCAAGTGGTAAGTGAGGGTGTCCTGTTCCAGGCCCTGAGGGTGACATCCTGCAGGTCCTTGGGTGCCATCAAGTCCTGGCAGGAGATCCGCTGACATTCTTGGCCTCAACTCCCTCCCCGCACCCAGGCTCCTTCCTCGCTGAGGCCTGGAGAGTGTGCGGTCCTTGCCTGCAGTCCCCTCTGGTCCCCACATGGGCACCTGGAGACATTTGGACTCTGTTCAGGCCACGTTCGCCCCGAGGGGAGCTCAGAGCTTAGACCACCTCTGGAAGCTCTCTCTGGCTTTTCCCACTTCTAGGGGTGCAGTATTTGTGTTCCTGCCTACTCTCAAAACAGCCAGCCTTCCCTAGGCTATTTTTTTTAAACAGCTTTATTGAGATATCTTTGACACATAAAAATTATATACACTTAGGATGTACAACTTGACGTTTGATACAAGTACACATTATGAAAATATCACCAGGATCACGCTAATAAACGTCTCTGTCACTCTACGGTTGGCCCCTAGGTTCATGGGTGTCCCAATTTAATGGGGTGCCTGTATCAGAACCTACCCCCCTCCGCAGAGCGCGGAGCAAGGGAAGGTAGAGGCGCTGAGCTAGACCGCACCCCTTCTCTTCCTTCACCTCGAGGAGGACCGGGGAGAGTGTGCGTAGGGAGGGAAACCAGTTCTCCCGGTTGTCCCTCAATCCCCCACCTGTTTTGTCCCACACCTGATGGAGTGTTCTTTGAACAGCAGATTAACATCTGGTGACTTTGTTTTCATGAGTACGAGTGTAGGTGGTTGCAGGGGCACAGAAGAGAGTTTGGTGCCTTAATCTCTAGCTCTGCCAAAACATCATACTTTACATATCACCCTATCACAACGTCTATGGAGCCGTCTGTCTGCAGGTTTTCCCTAGAGAGTGGTGCTACGTAGTTGTAAAACAAATATATGGAAAACTCAAAATCCAAGGGCCCTAACAGAGGTTTCAACACTGTCGTCTTGATCTACGTGGACTGGATGTCCCGCTCACTGAAATTCACATGTCTCTGGGTGTGTCTGGTGAACCTATAGGGACAGGATGCAGGAATCTATTTGCAGTTTTGGAGAAGTGAGCCCAGGGGACAAGCATAGCGAGGAAGGAACGGAGGACATCCTTGTGTCTGTCTGAGACTGTCCCGTTGGTCTGGCCCCTTGGCCGTGAGTGAGAACCTGATGGCAGGAAAAGCTATAGGCGTGAGCTGAGGGTACAGGATTCACGGAGGACTTGGTGAGACTCCAGGGCACATGGAACTTGTTTTAGAGCAAATACAGTCCTGACAACCAGATCCCAAAGGTGTCTGAGTGAGACGGGGTGTGTGTGTGTGTGTGTGTGTGTGTGTGTGTGTGTGTGTATGAGACTGTGAGTGTTGCGTGTGTGCCCATGGGTGTGTGCAGGGCTAAAGTCCTACACTAGTAGGTGGAGCAAGAACAAGGAACTATGGGTTATCACCAACAGCCTGGCTTGGTCTGAACCTACTGGCTCATGAGGCCAGAAGACATTTCAGTCAGAGACCAGTCCCCTACCCCAACACCCCAAAAACCCAGAACCCTGCCAGGAATTTCAGACAGAGGTGAATTCTTTAGAAAGCATTTTATTGGGGGGTTAAGTGAAACTGCACATATATGAAGCGTACAATTTGATATGTTTTGACATGTCTGCACCTGTAAAACCACAATCACACAAATGCCCCTTTGTAATCCTCACTCTGCCCCTCCCTGCGCCTCCCCTGACAACCTGCTTTCTGTCACCGTATATTAGTTTGCATTTTACAGAAATTTATATAAAATAAATGGAATCAAGCAGTAAATACTCTTTAAAAATTGTGGTTAAAAACATATAACACAAAATGCACCGTTTTACCCATTCTTACGTGCACAGTTCGCAGCATTAAGTACATTCAGAATGTTCCGCGACCATCACCACCATCCATCTTCAGAACTCTTTTCATCTTGCGAAATTGAAATTTTGTACCCATTGAACAGTAACTCACCGTTCCCTACTCCCTGCAGCCCTGACAACCCCCATTCTACTTCATGTCTCTGATTCTGACTACTCTAAGTACCTCATATTAGTGGAATCAGACAGTATTTGTGTTTTGTGATTGGCTTATTTCATTAGCACAATGCCCTCAAGATTCATCCATGTTGTTGCATATTGCAAAATTTTCTTCGTTTTTTTAAGGCTGCATAATATTCCATCGTGTCTATAGACCACACCTTATTTATCCATTCATCTGTTGATGGACACTTAGGTTGCTTCCATGTTTTAGCTATTATGAAAAACGCTGCCATGAACGCGGGTGTACAAATATCTTCTTGAGACCCTGCTTTCAGTTCTTTGGGTATATACCCAGAAGTGGGATTACTGGATCATATGTAGTTCTATTTTTTAGTTTTTTGAAACTCCATACTGTTTTCTGTACTGGCTGCACCATTTCACATTCCCACCAACAGTGCACAATTTCTCCACATTTTTGCCACCACTTGTTCTTTTTTTTTTTTTTAATTTAAAAAATTTTTTGCCTGCGTTGGGTCTTTGTCGCTGCACGCGGGCTTTCTCTAGTTGCGTCAAGCCGGGACTACTCTTCGTTGCGGTGCGTGGGCCTCTCATTGCCATGGCTTCTCTTGTTGTGGAGCATGGGCTCTAGGGTGCACACGGACTTCAGTAGTTGTGGCGTGCATGCTCAGTAGTTGTGGCTCACAGGCTCTAGAGCGCAGGCTCCATAGTTGTGGCGCACGGGCTTCGTTGCTCCGCGGCATGGGATCTCCCCAGACCAGGGAACCCATGAACCCATGTCCCTTGCAGTGGCAGGTGGATTCTTAACCACTGCACCACCAGGGAAGTCCCATTTTTCTGTTTTTTTGATAATAGCCATCCTGATGGGTGTGAGGTGGCATCCCATTGTAGTGTTAATTTGCATTTCCCTAAGATAAGGGATGTTGAATATCTGGGAATATACTTATGGCTGATTCTGGAGGAAACTGTTGCTGCCATAGAAATCAATGCTGTTGTAACTGCAAAAAATTTTGGAGCCTATAGTGGCAGTCAACCACTGTTCTCTTTACCAAGGCTGCTGGAGCCTACAGCCATCTCTCGCTGATGTAGATGCTGCTAAAAGCAGAAAGGAAGGTTTATGGCTTCTCTTTTTTCGTCTGCCTTCCAAACTCTTCTTAGGACTTCCCACTGGCCACCTAGCCCATGGCTGGGGTACGAGCATCTGGGAAGTGTAATTTGCAAAGACCCAGCCCCTGACAGTCGAGAGCAGGGTGTGGAAGGACAGGAAGTCATCACATACCTGCTGCTGCATCTTTTACTTCTTTGCTGATTAATGGTATTTACCTGCACAATT